AAAGATACTTCACAGGTGAAGAATTAGAAACAGCAAATAAATATGAAAAAGCGTTCAGTATCACTGGTCATTCATGAAATGCAAATTAAAGCAACCCTGAGATCCCATCCCACTCCAGAAAGAGTGGCTGCTATCGAGAAATCAAGCAATCACAGGCTGGAGGGGCTGCGGGGGGTGGAGAAGGAACCGCTGGTAGGTGTGTAGGCTGGTGTAACCACTGCGGAAACCAGCGTGGAAATTCTTAAAGAACTAAAACTAGATACCTCTTCTTAGTACCTTACCAAAATTAAAAGCGTCACACAGATGTGCAATATAATGCTCACCCACGTTTACAGCAGCACAGTTTGTAATAAGCTAAACCTTAGAAACAGCTTAAATGCCCCTCGACTGATGAGTGGATAAAGATGTGGGTTTGTTATACAGTGGAGCACTGCTCTGCCGTAAAGAAGGATGAGCTTGCGACATTTATAGCTACATGGATGGACCTTGAGACCACTCTTGAGTGAAATAAATCGGACACACATGTTTAAGTACCTCGATTCGCTGATATATGAAAGTGAAAGCGGAAATAAGGACTGAGATCTATAACAGAGGTTGGGAAAATGGGAAGAAAGTGTTCACATGGGAAGGGGAACAGGGAGGAGGAGGGAGAAAGGAAGGAAGGGACAAGACAAAAAGTAAAAGTAGAAGAAAAATGGAAACAAAGCTCTTCTTGTGCATGGAGAGGGGATGGGGCTTGAACCAGGAAAGGGATAAAGCAAATTTTATTTTAAAAAAGGGCCGGGGATTTAGCTCAGGGGTTCCGTCACCTACCTTGCAAGCACGATGTCCTGAGTTCAATCCCCGGTACCCCCCCCAAAGTAAACAAAATATATAAAATTTTTTTTTAATGGGTAAAAATAAATCCAATGGGAAAGCATAAGGGGATGAGTTGGGACAAAACCATGACCAACCAATAAGATCACAAGTACAGTCACCCAGGTCATATTGATTAAATGGGAATCGAATGGGAAGATCAGTCACATACAAGGAATTTCCAGAAAGGAAATGGGCTAGGGAGATCGATGCCCATTTAGAATATTAATCACTGCCATTCATCCCCAGGGGAAGCAGAACTATTGCAAATAGGTAAATTAATTAGATATCTTGTGGGCAGGGGGCCGGGGATTTAGCTCAGCGGTTCCGCCACCTGCTTCATAAGTGTAAGGTCCTGAGTGCAACCTTCATACCAAAAAAGGCCATCTCGTAGTAGTCTATTAGACAGGGCCAGCCCAGGAGGAGTCAACACCGAGGACAATCATGACACATTCACCTACGGCCAGCATTGTAAGAGAAGAGCAAGCACTACACCTACTTAGCATGAGTAGCAGTGATTGATATTCTAAATCGTTACCAGTCACCTGGGTGAGGGACCAAGATCTTCTAAGAAAGATCCCTGGCCCACCCCTTGCCAGCACAAGTCTGCTCAGTCCTTGTATGCTTGCTACGGGACTTGTTTTCCCATTGGATGCCCATTTAATCAACATTACCTAAGCAATTATACTTGTCATAATCTCATTGTTTTGTCCACCTTGTGATTTCTCATTGGATCAGTGTTACCTAAGCAACTGTACTTGTAATCTTACTAGTTGACTACAGTTTTGTTGCCTTGATTTTTCTTTTTTCTTTTTTTTGGTACCGGGGATCAAACTCAGGACCTTGTGCTTGCAAGGCAGGCATGGGCACCACTGGGCTAAATCCCCGGCCCAGTTGACTGCAGTTTTGTCCCTTGAACCCACCTCACCTCATGGCTTTGTCACATAAAACACCACTGAGAAGTCTGGTGAGCCGGCAGCCCACTTTCCAATCCCTTTTCTGTCTCTTAGACAGAAGCTTTCTTTCTCTCAATCAATTTTTCCTACTATTATAACCTCCGTTGTTCCTAGAATTCAGTCTTCCATTTTAGAGAACACAAACTCGAGTTTCTGAAAGGTAGCAGGTCTGGGAGTTACATCTCTTCCCCCTGTATCTCTAGGCTTCTTTTGCTTCCTTTGTTACCTTGGGTCAGATCCCTTCTCGGCTCTGCATATAGACATGTTCATAATTTAGGGAAGCTCTGTCTAATGCTGGGCAGACAAGGTTGATTTGCCTGGAATTACATAATCTCCTCCCCCTCCCAGACTGAGGACGGGAAGATAAGGATTTTCAGGGACAGCCAGCTACACCCTTTGCCCGGCCATCCTCAACCTGTGATCATCTGGATTCCAGGAAAAGCAGAGCCCCAGAAGACAGAAACCACCACAGCGCCATCAGCAGTTGCTTCAAGGAATGGAACCGCTCCTCAAGCCAGGAGCCTCCCTGTACAGCCAGGAAGCCAGGGCTGCAAGCGATAGCAATCACCGGAGTCCTACAGGAGGCCGCTTTCATCTCCTTTATTAGAGTTTGTCCCCTCCAGCTGCTCAGGCTGGAGCCCTTCCCAATTTTCCTTACTCTCTTCCCTTAAGGGCCCGCCTGACCTTTGTCAGCCCCTCAAGCTAAAGTCCCTTACCATTTTCTCTTACTTTCTAGTTCAACCTTTTTCCTGTAAATTCATACATTAGTTTTAATTTCCACTACCACTGAAAGTCAGGACCCAGCTAGCCAGTGACAACTGTCTTCAGTTTTTGTTTTTTTTGTTGTTGTTGTTTTGTTTTTTTATACCAGGAATTGAACTCAGGTCCTTGCACTTGTGAGGCAGGCAGCAGAACCGCTGAGTTAAATCCCTGGCCCTCAGCTGTTTGTTATGAGGTCATATTCCTAAAGTATGTTTTCAGGTTGCTTGTGTACAAAAATTAGGTTGTAGCCCTTCGCGTAAGGACTCAAGGACGCTAGGACAAAGGCCACAGGAACGCTGCAAAGCCCCAAGAGCTGCACGGTGGAATCTCAAAGGTCGGTGTTAAAGCCCTACCCAATTTCTTATACCAGACACTAGAGGGAGCGTTTGCAAAAAGGAGTTCTGACAGTGTCGGATAGCTAGGAGGCCATAGCACCAGGCCTGTAACGCAAAGGTTTCTTCTGCAACTATTTGATTTGGAGGCAGTCTGCCTGGCCTAAGCCATGGCATAGAAAACTTCCTGTCTACTGCATAGCCACTTGCCTGGGATTTGATGAGTTGGTGGTGGGGTTGGTGCCAGGGAGAAATGGCTGCAGCCACTGTGAACACAACTGAGAGGTTCCTGGCGATTTTACATTTATTCGAAAATAAATCACTATCTTCACAAAGCTGTGGGAAAGTTATTCGCATTTGGATTGGACAACTGTATAGATATAATTAAGAGAAATACTAGCAAATAGTAGAAAATGCAAAATGCAAAAGAAAAACATGAAGCAAAGAAACCTAATTGCTTCAGTGGGTAGATCAAGTTTAGTCCACTGATGTGCAAGTGGAGGAGGAGCAAATGAAAATAAGGACAGACTCTTTGGGAGCTGATTAAGGAGACAAAGAGAAAATGTATATAATTCTTCCTGTCCTATACACATATGCTATTCCTCCTAAAGTACATTTTTCCTCCCTTTGAAACTAGGCTGGACTTCTGGATTCTTTTCCCCACTAAAATGCATCATAAGTGATTCTGTACCTGTTTTCATTACTGTAATAAAATACTTGAGGCTGGATACTTTATAAAGGAAAGAGGTTCCTTCTGGCTGATGGCATGGGAGGTACAAGTTCTAGGGGCTGACTCTGGTGATGGTTTTACTGCTGGCAAAGAGAGTCCCAAGGTATGGCAGGACAATACATGGCAAGTGCTAGGGAACGTGTGTGCTCAGTTACCTGTTATGTTTCTCCCCTGCCTTCCCTCCCTCTGTCCCTAACTGTGATACTGGGGCTGAACCCAGGGCTTCACACGTGCCCTCTCCTCTTAAAAGTCTGTAGGATTCAATCATGGGCCGGCCAGCTGACTACAGCCTTGAATGGCTTCAGATGTGACAGATGGAACAGACCACCCGGCTTAGTTCAGTTCACCCACAGAACTATGAGAAATAAACTATTGGCGTTTAAGTCACTGCACTTCAGAGTGGCTTTTATGAAGCAAAAAACTGGAATATCTTACCTGATTTTTTTTGAGGGGGTACCGGGGTCCTTCCGCTTGCGAGGCAGGTGGTGGAACCACTGAGCTAAATTCCCAGCCCTTATCTGATTTTCATATGGTGCTATGGTTTGCGTGTTCAGCCTGAAATTCACGTTGATATGCCATTGCCATTGGGTCAGCACTGAGACACACAATGGATGAGCGAGCCTCAGAAGTGGTCGAATGGATCAGAACCCTTTTGAAGGGGCGAGCACTGTCCCTGGGGCACTGTTGTGCAGAAGTCAGTGGTCCTGGTCTTGCTCTCTCCCCTGAATGCTCATGTGCCCTTCTGGCCCTGGCAATACTACAAGAAGGCCCTTGCCAGATGCCAGCGCTGTGCTTTTGGATCTTCCAGCCTCCAGACTGTGAGGCTGAACAGCTATTGTTTTTAAATTCATAGTTTGTGGTATTATAGGGTTGTTTGTTTGAGACAGGTTCTCACTATGTAGCTTAGGCTGGCCTCAAACTTGCAGGGATCCTCCTGCCCCAATCCTCCCGAGTTCTGGGACTATAGGCATGTATCACTACACCTGGCCTTCATTTTCTACTTTACAGGTAACTTTTATTTCAGGTCTTGGCATGATCTACATGGGAAGAGAATATATTAAATTTTCTCTTTTTTGTAAATGTACTGTTTTGTGAACCTTTGAGCTACAAATTTAAACTTATAATTATATATTTTTGGGGGGGGCAGTGTCTCCTTTTGTAGTTCAGGCTGGCCCTGAGCTCACCAAGTAGCTCAGGCTGGCCTTGAACTTGCATTGATCCTCCTGCCTCAGTCTCCCAAGTGTTGGGATTACAGGCGTGCACCACCACGCATGGCTTAAAATTATATCTTCATGTATGATCTGTTCTGCTACTGTACAAAAGCAAAGTGAAAGAAAAAAGACTAAAATTTATCTTTAGCTTCTGTGACACTTTTACTTGTTATTTTTTCTTTTAAGCAATAGATATTTATAAATTTAGGGAGGAAGATTCAAAGACGCAAAGTATCTTTCTCTCCAAAAGCACATGTCTCTTACGAATCAAATGGAACGCAAGTCCATCAACCCATAAATGGCATCCAGAAGCTACTGTGTTAAGGAACAGGTGGGCAAGGGAGTTGATCTTTGGTCCTAGCCGCTCAGTTCCCCAGGTGTTTGATGTGGGCCTCCAGCTCCTGGCATGTGTAGAGGTCTCTGTTCTTTTTCAGGAATATCATGATGTTGGCCCTCAGTGTCTGCAGCTTCTTCTGTGCCTCCTGGAGCTTCCTCTCGGAGCCACGCAGGCTTTCCTCAAAGGCCCTGGCCTGTGAGTTGCAGTGGCTCTCGTAGGAACGGCACAGGTTCTGCAAGTGCACTTTATAATGGCTGAAGTACTCTTCCAGGGGAAAAGCTGTCAGCTTGTCTACATTCATAGTACTCAGCTCATTCTTGGACATGGGAAAAGTTGGAGGCCAGAAATACTGTAAGCAATCCTGGAGAATCCGGGCCAGGCGATCAATAGTTTCACGCTTGGTACTCGCAGAAATAGTGCCTGGCTTGATGAGGATGCTGTCTGGGGTAGAAGGCTCTGCGCTGGTTACGGCCTGCTGAGCCGCTACAGCCTTTTCTCCTTCCTTACCCTTCAGCTGTGGGGTGGGGGGTTGACGTTCCGGAAAAGGCGGTTTCATCGGCCGCACATCACCGCTACTTTTCTCTCCCCAGTGGATTTCTGGAGTTGCACCTGCGGGCACGCGGTCAGACCCCACCTCCCAGCACGCCACATTCTCACCCACCTCTGTGGCTCTGACAGGGCCTGGGTGGCACGCCCTGTTCACAGGTGCTTCCACGCCAAGCCCTGCGTCTTCCCGCTCCCTTTTGAGACCAGCTAGGTCCTCTTTTGCAGCACTGTCTGAGAACTCATTTGATTTCTTTTTTTCCTGCTTCACAGCAAATTTGCTCCGTTTGCGCCTCTTCTTCCCTCTCCCAGCCTCTTCAGAGACCCGAAGACTCTGCTGCCGATCAGTGTTAGCCCTGAAGAGTTCATCAGGTGGCTCTGACTTCTTGACCACTGCAGTCTTGACGACTTTGGGTGCAGGGCCCTTCCAAGAGCTCTTGGAGTTGGGCAGCACAGATGATGACAGTGGCCGCACCAGAGCAGTCTTGACTGGGGTGACCATAGGTTTTTGGGGTGCCTCGGGTGACTGGAGCACCCTGGAGGTACTGGGCTCTACCCAGGCCTCTGATGAAGGAAGCTTTGGGAGACCGCTGATGGCCGGAGACTTCCGGGGTTGGGCGACTGTTCTGGGAGCTACTAGGGAAGACGGTCTGCTCAGGGCATTCCTGATCACAGCAGGTAAAGGTGGTGACAAAGGACGCTTCCGTCTCCAGCCGGGTTCCTCCGTGGAAGAAGGTTTGAGTGTCACCTCCAAGGGCAATTTCTTCAACTGAGCTTGGCAGCGGATGGGAGTGGTTTTCTGAAGGGCCTCCAGCTTCTCCTGCTGCCGGCGAATATTCTCTGACAGTTGCTTTTGCTTCTCTTCCCATGTCTTTGGGTCCTTTTTGTATGTCCCCAGGGGAAGCTTCTGATCTTGCTCCAAAGCCTCACACCGGTCGTGCTCAGGATCAGGGTTCATGGAGCAAACCCAGGTGTCAGGGTAATCTTTTCCCACTGAATCCAGCTGGACAGGGAGGGTCCTCCACTTGAGACACACATCGCACTGGATGGTGACTGGGATCTCCATAGCTCTCCTGTGTCTGTAATGCAGCTCATTGGATGGGGGCTGGTTCCAGTTGGCAGAAAGGTAGCCAAACTCATCCCAAAATCTGATGATTCCATGCTGAGCGATGGCGGTGTCCTTCCAGTACTGTGCCAGGTGCTCCCCCATGGCCCTCAGCAGGAACCGGTACTCCTTGGCATCAGCAAAACCCTGCTTGTTGTGTGTAGGCTCAAGGACCAGGTGGGGCACATCGACAACGCCGACAACCCCACCACAGGCCATGCCCCCTTCCAGCTGCGGGCCCACTTTCTCATACATCTTGATCAGGCGGCTACAATTGTAGATAAACATGCCATCTAAGTCCCGATGTTCAATGTTGACCCCGAAAACAAAATTCAGTTCCTTAGGTTCTTTAAGGGCTCGCTGCTTGGCTTCCTTGATCCTTCTCTTGATGTCGGCTTCTCTGCGAAGGTTGATGGCCGTGTTCTGGACCTGCTGTAACAGCACCTTGGAGTCCCGTGTGATAGCACCACCTATTCTGACTTGTAAGGAACGAGCTTTGCTCTCTGCCTCCCAGGCCTTCTCCTCAGCAAGCCACGCTACGTGTTCTGCTTTCTTCATCTCCTGCTCTGCCCGGGTCTTGAAACGGCTCGATGTGTACTTGTACATCCTAGGCTTGTACAAACAGCAGGTGAGCCTCTTGGTCTGCACCTTGTGCCCGTGGATGAAGATCCTCATCCGGGGATCGATATAGAGGACAGACGAGTAGGCTCTGAAGGAGCAGCGCTCTGGCTTCGTGCCCTTTGGGGAAGGCTCTGCCATCTGGATATCTCTTGGATTTGAGATTATGTCTATCTCAGGCTCTCCATTATCCATGAGTTTAAGATTAAAGATGATCACTAGTGTTCCACTGTCCCCAAGAATCTTCATGAACTGGCTCATCACTTCCTCCTCAGTGTGGAAGGGAGAATACTTGTAGATGAGTTCTGTCTCGATGGAAAACTTCTCCATATTCTCTGTGAGAGCTTCCCGGGTCTGAGCATTCCAGGTAGGTAATGGAACTATGACTTCATCAATTCCCTCTTCCTCATGAAAAGTGCGAGACAGGAAGAGGCAGGTCATGGTACCCTCTTTCTTGGTGAAAAGGATAAAATCCTTCCCGATGCGCATCGAGCCAGATTTTAACCCATTCCCATACTGCCCAATCTGGGTGGACTCAGGTGTCCGTTTGGCTGACTTCCCCAACTGGATAACACCAGCAGTATCCCTGGGATTCATTCCTGCTCCGTCATCCAAAAAGCAGAGCATAAATCCCCCTCGAAGGTCCTCTCGCCTCTCTGCATAAATATCTATTCTAGTGGCGTCAGCATCTCTTGCATTATCAACCAGTTCAGCAAGAGCTCCAAATAAGAATTCGTGAGTGGTTGAGTTTGTGTGCAGGTATTCAAAGGTTAGCTGAGCTCGAGTCAGACTGCTGTAATATGGGAAAGCCATGACTGCGGTGAGATCTCGTCTTCTCCCGGGTGGAACAGGTTTTTCAGGACCCTGTCCAATAAAAGTTAAGTTCCTGCTCCTTAGAAACTGTTGAACCAAGTTACCTATGGTTTATCCAAAATATATTCAGAGATGTTCAAAACTACAACTCCTTTCTTCTTTAAGTATTTTAAGATTTTCCATGATGTACTATTTGGAAATTATTTCACATCAAACTTACAGTCTAAGGACCTTCTGGCCTTTTGATAGTTCAATTCAGACAAAATGAGGCCAAAGTGAGTGGTCTTGGACAGTTACTGAGCTCACTGATGGTTATTTCTTCTCCATTTATCGTTTTCCAGCCCTCTTCTCGACAATTTGCCAATCCAGAAATGCACCCACTTTTGTCATAAAATTTAACAGCCAGTCCACATCTTCTCCACCAGTGTCTGCACGATCCTGACCCAGGTCCTACACAGAGGACGAGAGGTCGCCAAAGCGCTTTATGGCGCTACTTCCGGTCCACCACTTCCGTGTAAGAGGTCCACTGCCTGAGGACTGTTTTCTTTTTCGTATGGGACTCGGGTCCTTGCGCTTGCGAGTCAGGTGCCGGAACCACTGAGCTAAATCCCTGGCCCTGACTGATAGCTCTTTTCTTCCAAACAGAACAATCCCGGTGGGTGTTCAGGCCCCAGTCTCCTTAGCGCGGAGGATCCTTCCCGCGCAGTCACCTCAGCCAATTCTGGCTCCAAGGCCGAGGCGAGTGAACCGCTCAGGTGGGCGTTGCAAGGAGCTCGTGGCCTTTGTGCCCACCGAGAAGGGGACTGGAATCCAACCGCTGAGGCGCTCCTGGGACCACGTGAGTCCTCTGCCCTGCCACACGGTGCAGGAGCTGACAGAAAGGACATTTCTGCTGCTTCCTCTCCGGTTTACCTAAACATTTTTGAATACGTGGAAGATAGAAGAAAGTTTTTTTTTTTTTTTTTTTTTTTTTTTTTATTTTTTGGGTTTTTTTGAGACAGAGTCACACTATGAAGTTCAGGCTGGCCTTGAGCTCACTATGTAGCCCAGGCTGGTCTCAGACTCAAGGTGATCCTCCTGCCTCAGCCTCCTGAGTGCTGGGATTACAGGCGTGAGCCACCATGCCCGGCCTTTTCTTGTTCAATTCTTTATTTGAGATAAGAACCTGGAATATGTTTGTCAAGCCATTTCTAAAGGAACTACCGGATAACAGTAACAGTATTGGGACTTCAGCTCTGGTTTCTTCTCAGTCCAACTTCTCTTCTCTTGATATTGCTGTTTCTCCTAACTAAACATTGCTTACTTAGCCAGGTTGTTGTGGCCCACGCCTGTAATCCCAGCACTCAGGAGGCTGAGGCAGGAGGATCACTGTGAGTTTGAGACCAGCCTGGGCTACGTAGTGAGTTCCAGGTCAGCCTCAACTATATAGTGAGACCCTGTCTCAAAACAAAACAATGCTTACTTAGATATTCGCCTTAATTTATACATAGTACTCCCCAAGAAGGCTTATGGTGACGAGGATTTTTTTAAAAATTTATTGGTACCTTTAAGGTATACAATATAATGACATGCATCACTGGAAATTTGTACCTTTACATAATCCGTCTTGGTTCTCATTTTTTCCCCATTCCCCTGCCCTCCTTCAACCCCTCCACCCTTCCCTAACTACAAAGACATTGTTTCCATTTTCTCAAATTAATTCCATTTCCTTCTTCCTTTTCCCCTACCCCTCCCACTTGAGGACTTAAGTCTTTTTATTGCAAGTGTATTCAGCAGTTCTGCATTTATAAATTTGTATTTATATATATTTATTTTTTATTTTTTTAAAATTTTTATTGTGTTTATTGGTACAATCTAGGTATACAAGATGAGGATTTTTTAAATATCTCTATCTAGGAGACTGGCATGGTAGCACACACCTGTAATCCCAGCACTGGGGAGGCTGAGGCAGGAGGATTGCTGCAAGTTTGCCACCAGCCTGGGCTACACAGTGAGTTCCAGTTCAGTCTCAACTACATAGTGAGACCCTGTCTCAAAAAAAAAAAAAAAAAAAAAAAAAGTACAAATAGTAGGAATTGGGATTTGTTTTTTTTTGTACTGGGGATCGAACTCAGGCCCTTGCACTTGCAAGGCAGGTGGTAGAACCATTGAACCAAATTCCTGATCCCAGGAAAATGGGTTTTAATAGACCAGGAGTTCATTTGCTTGTGGAACCATTATTACAAGACTTTTCCAAATAATATAAAGTCCTTAAAGCCTTCCCAAGTGGGGAAGGTGCCTGAAGAGCAGAGCCTAAGACTGATTTTACAAAACAGAAGATAAAAAAGTTTAATTTTTATTAGTGCACATTGTAATACATGATTACATTATTATTTTTTTATTTATTTTGGGGTCTTTTTTTGGAGACAGGGTCTCACTGTGTAGTTGAGGCTGACCTGGAACTCACTATGTAGCCCAGGCTCGTCTCGAACTCAGTGATCCTCCTGCCTCAGCCTCCCTCCCGAGTGCTGGAATTACAGGTGTGCGCCACCACATGGGGCTCTTCATACTGATTTTGATAGCACCAGTTCACACTCCCACCAACAGTGTAGAAGTGTTCCTTTTTCCCCCACATCCTTACCAGAATCTGTTGTTACTTGATTTTTCAAGTGGCAAAGCCTCAAGGAGGACCTAGGGACCTCTGAGTGCATCCTGTGACCCTTGTGGGTTCTTGGGACTCCATTAGGAGAAGGCCAGGGAAGAAAATTTATTTCACCTGATTATTTACTCATGGTCAAATACAAGTTATCATTTTTCTTGGATTTATGTTGAGGGTCTTCCCAAAGTGAGAAAAATATCTAATGGGTTTCAATGTAAATAAAATTTAAAAATTTTATTAAAAATATGAACGTTGGAAGGCTGGGCGTGGTGCTGCATGCCTGTAATCTCAGCACTTGGGAGGCTGAGGCAGGAGGATCTCTGTGAGTTTGAGACCAGCCTGGGCTATATAGTGAGTTCCAGGTCAGTCTCAACTCCATAGGGCGACCCTGTCTCAAACCAAAACAAAACAAATGAATGTTGGAAATAATTGTAGCAAGGAATTGTGTCCAAAAAGTTAGGGTGCATGACACTACTACATTATAGCTTTGTTCAGCTAAACTCTGGCCTAATGAGGAAATATTTTCCCTTCAGGCAGGGGGAACAGGTAGACAGGATCAGGAGGAGGTAAATACAGTAATTACTGAATAATAATTACTGCATAATAATGTATGTTATACCAGTCATTGTGGTTCAAGGTACTGTATTTTTAACAGAGGCCAGAGTACACTGAAGCTAGTTATTAGTCAGCAGGTTGTTTTCTATTTAATTGTTGCCATCCACTAGTTACTGTAACAGAGTGAAGAAATGAACTTTAGCACAATCTATTACAGGGTGGTGACAGCAACCCATTAATCGGAGGCAACTGTTACGATTTGAACTTAGGAACTGGCAAAATAATAAAGAGCAAAATAAAAGGTAATAGGAAGGGGGGAGGTAGATCTTTCCGGAAGGAGAAGAGGATCAAGAGATGGAGAGAGAAGGAAGGGAGGGAGGGAGGGAAAGGGGATGAAAAGAGAAATTAAAATGTGCCGTGGTCACAGACCCACTGTGGAAGCAACAAGGAGTGGGAGCGTCATGCACTACAAACATTTACGCAGAGAGACTGACTGATGTATTGATTTCTGGTACTGGAGATCAAACTCGGATCCTTGTGGTCGAAGGCAGGGGACAGAATCACTGAGCTAAATCCAGACAGAGAGAGAGAGAGAGGGAGAGAGGGAGATCACACACACACACACACACACACACACACACACACACACACACGGATTCCAAGATTAATTCTTCAATAAATTTAGTTTCTTTAAGTTTTAATTTACTTATTTTTATTCTGGCTTAGGAAATGGAGGGGACGCCTCTAAAGATTTTAAAATGCCAGATCCCAGCTATTGCCATAGATCCAAATATGTAATTAAAAGCTGTATTTTGTCTTTAAGATTTGTTTTTTAAATGCTGGGGCGGAGATATAGCTCAGTGGTACAACTAACTGCCTGCCTAGCATGTGTGTGGTCCTGGATTCCATACCTAGTACTGGGAAAAAAAAAGCAAAGCGAAGTGTCGTTTTCAATCAATGAAACACAATAAACTAACTTTTTATCCCCAAAAGTTTTTGTTTTCCTTGAACTGTGACTTCTTTAAGAACAGAAGACAGGAATCAGGGATTTAGCTCAGTGGTTCGGGGGCCTGCCTTGCAAGCGCAAGGACCCGGTACCAAAAAAAAGAACAGAAGACAGAAAAAAAACCTTTTCTAATTGTGACTATATCTTGGTGTGTGATTGTACTATTAGAGTTTTTTGTTTTTTGGGTTTT